CCTGTAAGAGTAGCTCGTACCTCCAACACAGGAGCCTTAGTAGGACAGAAGTAAGGTACAGTCTGAACAAAGAATGTAAACTGTTGGTGTTTTTGATTGAGTTTCGTTTTCTCACTTTGGGATTAGGAGCAAGTTGACAAAAGCTTATGTGCATTTAGTCATCTTTTACCATATTCGAGTAACGTGAACTCAGTGTTTACTTTTTATGATGAGAACTTGATTTATTCGTCTTGCTGGATTGGTTTTTATGTTCTGTAATTTGGTTCCTATAAAAATTGTAATTTAATGACTAGCTTTGAGCCATTTCGACAATTAAAATTCCTCAGGTTGCTCTTTTTTTTTTTTTTTAACCATTTTGTGTTGGGTGGCATTTGCCCTGTGTCTTTGATTTACCATGCCACTTCCTGTGACCTGTGTGTCTTCTCCTTGGGGACGCTGGGTAGAAGCTGTAAGCCATGGAAACTCCGTCACCTGCCGAGTGAAGAAAGCCTGTCACTAACGAGCCTTCTGCATTGATGAGTCGTCTGTGAGATTGGCTTTCCGTGAGGACAGGAGCGCCATTTTCACAGACTATTCTGAATGGCACTCTGTGGAATTCTGTGCGGCAACAGCCTGGGCTCGTAGCTGTAAGGTGCCATTTCTAGTCTGCTCGCACCAAGTAAAGGGCACCGACAGTGGTTGCTGGTGGTATGTTGCTGGGGAGGTCAGCTTCTTGTAGTTACGGTATGCCACCTCACAAACCAGGATCATAATCATGCGATTTTAATAATAGAAGAACCATGACGATCAAGTCCTGCCCTCTTATTTTACAGGGCAGTGAGGAGATCAAAGCCCAGAGAAGGATATTACCTTTACTGGTGTTACGGAGTAGTTAGAACTTGTTTCTACTGCTGGCCTATTTTGTTTATACTGAGGTGTTGCTTCCTCTCTTTATGAACCTAGAAGTCATGATGTAGGTTAGCATTTTCTGTATTTGAGGTCTTAGCAATGACCAGTTTCTTTTTAGAATTTGTTTTGAAATTCTGATTCATAATTTGGCTACCTTTGTTTTTGTTTTTGGTAAATAGGCTGTACCAGCGCAGGTCCTCACTTTAATCCTCTATCCAAAAAACACGGTGGGCCGAAAGATCAAGAGAGGTGAGTGACGAAGTGCTTTAACTCTTAACTAAAATTACGGCGATGGCTTGTTAGGGTCAGGACGGGTATCTACTTGCAGATTGCATATGCTGACATAAGTGGGTAGGCCTTCCCACCTCTGCTCTTGAATTTGTTGCCCCCACCAAGTAACCCCTTTGCCCCAGGTACTAGAGCAGCTTACTCTCTGGGCTGAGGAATTGACACATGGGGACATGATTTGGTTTTGTAGCATTTATTGAATATAGAATCAATACAAGTGCCAAAGGGAACTAATACAGGAAATGTCATGAGTAACAGTACTATCAACCACTAGCAACATAAACCACCATTGTGAAACAGAGGAAGCCTTGTAGGTAAAAATTTGATACTGAAAATTCAGTGAGTCCATTTGCATGTGTGTTTCCTGAGAGCCTTTCAGGAAAATATTAAATTTAAGGATGGGGCTGAATTTATTTTTATAACAGGCCTGGGGCATAGCATTCTTAGCCAGGCCAAGAATTAACAGGTGTAACTCAGTAACTTTGAGTTTACCCTTCGGTACTTTACCTCTGAAATGAGAGATGTGTCCCCATCCCACAATTCTGCCCAGAGCATTACCTTGTAGATTGGAAGCTTTGAAAAGCAGCGTGTCTAGAGTGTCAGTTGTTTCTAGTTTGTGTGTATGTTCCAAAATTCTGTCGATCTGGGAGAGTGGGTCCTGTTTGATACATACCATACCTACCCTTCTGTATGACTCAGTCATTAACTTAGTTCACCAACTAGCCTTATGTTAAATGGAAGTCAGTCCCAATTCCTGATGACTCTTTCCCTGTTAGGCATGTTGGAGACCTGGGCAATGTGACTGCTGGCAAGGATGGCGTGGCCGTTGTGTCCATGGAGGATCCTCTGATCTCACTCTCAGGAGACCATTCCATCATTGGCCGCACAATGGTGGTGAGTTTTTGTATGCTAGGATATGCATACCGTTTCTTCTAATACACAGACATGTATCTTTTCATGGATTCATGATTATTATTCCTGGTTTCTAAGGATCCACGTACATGTACCTTCAGTCCAGATTAAGAAAAGCAGTTACTTTGATGATCACTGTGAAGGTGAATTAGGTTGATGTAGGTTGGTTGTGACACTGTTCTGCAGAGATGTGGTAATTAAGTAGGTTTCATTTGGTCATACTAGATCTGTAGCGTGGAGAAACCGTAGTAGTCACCGTCTGGTTTTAAAATGGCCAGATTTTCCGGCCATGATTGAGTGTCCCCCTTGTAGTTCAACAGAACATTTCGTGAAGTCCAAATGAGACAGACCTCAGTATTGGTATTTGTTCATGTTTGCGGGTCTCCACCATTTGTTAAACCTGTGGGAAGCGAGTGCCCTGAGTTACCCACGGGGGCTGCATCTGGTTCTCGTAGTCACCAGGTAGCGTAGGCTCTGTGTTGCCTGCCCCAGAGGACAGTTAACCTTCTGTAGTCCTTTCCTTCCAAGTGACCCTAGAGTTTTCTTCAGCTATGGTTGCGAAGCAGAAAAATCATTGATCAATGTTTGAGGAGCCAAATTTAAAATACTATTGTTTAAATAGTTGAAGATACTTACTTACAAACTGGTAGTTCATTAGGCACATTTTTAGGTTTTTTAAAATTTTCCTTTTCTTTTTCCCTTTTTTTTTTTTTTTTTTCCTTCTAAAGTGTTTATTATGAAAGAAGGTTATAACTCAGGCTACTAAAATTTCTCGTGGAGGATTCAAACTGGCACATGGCAGCGTGTAACACTTGCCCCGGGTTTTTAGTATTTCATTTAGAGATAGCAACACTTACCTAGTGTTTACAATGAACTTAGTCTCTATCACAAAGAAAAAGCTTTGAATAGTAGTTTCTGTTGTTTACCACTAGATTAAACATTAGTGTATTTCCATGCTAGGATTATTTTAACATGGTCTTTTCTAGTATTAAGTGGTTCTTAAAAGTCTTTTGGGTATTGTTGGGAATAGGTGGTAATTACTTGATTGTGCTATGTTAATGTTCTCAAAACTTTTTAAAGGTCCATGAGAAACAAGATGACTTGGGCAGAGGTGGCAATGAAGAAAGTACACAGACGGGAAACGCCGGGAGTCGTTTGGCTTGTGGTGTCATTGGGATCGCCAAGTAAATATTCCCTAGGATGCGATCTGAGTCCTAGTAGCTCCTCTGTTATCTTGCTAGTTGTAGAAATTTAACTGGATAAACATTAAACACTGTAACCTTAAGAGTGCAATTTGTGTGACTTTTTAATTGCTTTAAAAAGTACCTGTAATGAGAACTGATTTATGATCACTTGGAAGATTTATATAATTTTATAAAACTCCTATTCAGTTAAAATGTCTGTTTCAACGATCTCTGTATTTTGCCAGGCTTAATAATCATACGTGGGTATTAAACTTAATTGTGTGAATTTCTTCAATTCTCATTCAAGCCCGCAATAAACAAATACACCATATGGCACTGCATCTTGAACCTGTTGAAGTATCCAAATTGAAACTCTATAAATTAGCTCTTGATACTCCTACAGAGCGCTTGAATGGAACAGAGTTAGTAATATGTTGACAGATACGACCTGTTTCATAGAGGTTGCTTTTCAAAGTGTTTTAAATGACGGAAGAGGGTTTAAAGTTCTAGCAGCTGGTCTTTTAGCTAACACCTCAATTTGAATCTTGGTTGGACAGCTGTCCTTTGTCAGCTTCAGGGAAATTAAGGTGGTTTCCCTGATTAGCTACTTAGCATTTTGATTCAAAAGGTATTTAACTTTATTTTAAAAAGTAAATGTTACGGTTTGAGAGCCCTTTGATAACTATTAGTGAAACTGTGAACAGTTAAGTTAGCCTCAGCTAAGAGTAAATTTACCTACCTGCCAAAATGGCACATATTCCACGTTTCATACACCTGTGAAGATTTATTTAGTTTATAATAAAAGTAGAGGGTGGCACAGTCTGCTTTCAAATTAGCCATTTAAAGAAAATATCGTAGCATTTTAAGATGGGACCAAGGAAATGTTTGAATGTGGGTTATGGCTACTTAAGAATTTACACATCTAATTAGTAAGTTTAGGTGTAGTTCTCCTATTGTAAATACTTAACTATGTACCTATGAGAAACTTTTAAATGAAATGTTAACCTAATTCAGGTTTTGGACTCTGGAGTACAGTTATCAACTGGTAATAGTAGAGTGTTTCTGATAGGGAAATCAGAAATAAGGTACAGTTCTGATTGATCATAAATATATGCTATCCTTTTATCAAATGTAGGATATTGGTTAGGAGAGGAAAAGCCAACTTGGAAAAGGACAATTTGTAGTGTTCTCAGTTTTAAAACTGGTGATAAAAAGAACAGCATGCTCAGAAGTGGTTAAAATCCCTGTTAGAATTTAAAAACAGTAATGGATTTCGCTAATAGACTGCTTGGTGTACGTGTGTGGGATAAGACTCAAATACAGGGCCTGGCTTGTGAGCCTCAAGTGTAATCACTACCACTTAGGACGTCAGCGGAGGGTGCGGCCATGTGGAAATAGGATGGTTCCAATACTTAACATTGGAAATAGGGGTTTTAAGTCCTTGAAATCTGAACACTAAATCAGATGTATTATTTCTTTCCAGAAGCAGTTTCAGTTAGGACTTTTAAACCTCTCAGGTGGGCCAACATCAAACGGAGGACAAGTCTTACAATTCAGGTGCAGATATCAGCCTGATTTTTCTCTCATTTTCTAAAGCCAGGAACACAAGAACATTGTCCTAGATACATTCTCCCTGTCGAAAGAGAGATCTTGCTGCAAAGTACTATTTAAAAACCAGAGTCATAAAGCAGCTTCACCTGGGGATGAGGGCAAAGAAAAAGTTACCTGCTCAGCACACTAAAACTAGAACAGTTTAAAAGGTAATTTAAGGGAAAAAAGCCTCAACAAGGCCATAAACACTTGGGACTGTGTAACAACAGGTCTCTTCCTTGGCACTGGGGAAAAGCAGTTTTATGGAACCGCTTTTCTGTATTCTTTTAGATACAGGTTTGATTTGGCTTTGGACGTCTCCACGTAGTATTTCCTGGATAAACTACATGTACTTTTCTAGTTATCCCAACAATTTTAAGCAAAAGAGAAAATACTTTATATGTTCTTATATGTGACAAAAAGTTCAGTCTACCTCTGCCCAGCAGGGGAGTTTAACAAATGGTAAAGAAAGGCAACAGGCAAGGCTTATAAGGAAACAATAGGTTGCATTTAAGTCCTTAAACAGAGAAGACAGAAAGCTTTTAGGTTGCAAATGTTAACCTTGATTTTTTTCACCCTTCTGAAAAATTTAATGGGATGGTAAGGAAACACTCAAACTTAATTTCTAGTAAGTAATACCCAGGCAATCAGATAATTCTATAGTACAATCGGGTCTTTGGGATCCAGTTTTTCCCCCAGCAAAATTTCTCTTTACAAGTTAATTAGGGCAACATTTACCACAAAGCCAATGGCAAAAAAGAAAACCTTGATTGAACTGCAAAACTAACAAGCTTTTCAATTAACATGAACACAACTAACCCTTTACACCTTATGATTGAAATGTTAAAATTCAAAAATAGTATACAAATGAAAGTGAGAATAACTACATAAAGATGTCTATTTCCATCAAATAAACAAGTCTAATTTAGACTCCAATACAGTATTAACAGCTCAAACTTTGATGGTGAACAATCCTTTTCCACCTTAATGCAGTGTAGGAAGAATAGCACACATTAAAGTTTGTTATGAAAATAGAGTTTATTAAAAACATCCCTATTGTTTTGAGGAGCTTTCACCGTTACCTTGTCTTAAATTAAAAAAAAAAATAGAGAGCACTTCTAATTACGATTTGTAAACTTTTTAAAGTCAAAACTTTTAAAAAGTTACAGCAAAAAGGGTAATATTTATTCATATTTTCAGTATTTTTTGTTATTTTGTGGCTATTTTTAAATAGAAGGGAAGCAATCAAATTGCTTACAATTCCCCACCAACTACTGCGGGGCTGCGGTATAGCAGGAGCAATATAATACAGCATCTGTACACCTCAAGCTCTACACTCCGGAAGTGTCATGGTCACATTCGACAAATGCCAGTCTCTAACGAGGAGCCTCTGCTGCTGAGCCAGAATCCTTTTCGGGTTCAACGGATGAGGTAGCCTCAGCAGGTAGCTCTTCAGATGGTTTTACAACGGCAGACTCAGACTCCCCCTTACCAAGTTCTGAAACAGTGTCTACGGTTCCCACTTGACTAATGGGAGGTTCAACGGTTTTGTTACCACCTGCCCTGTCTGTCACCTCGGGCTTCTCCTTTCCTCGGTTTTCTTCCTTATCTCTACGAGACTCTCTATCTCTAGAATCTCTCTCTCTGTCTCGATGCCCACTAGAGCGTCTATTTCTCTCTTCCAAGTCTCTGTGCCTGTCCCGGTCAGGGCTCCTTCTTCCCCACTCTCTCCTTTCACGGTTACTATTATCTCTATCATCATTACGGCTCCCATACCGTTCCCGGTCATTTTCCACCCTATTTCCAAAAGATCTTCTTCCAAACCTCTCTTGGTCTCTACCTGAATTGAACTGCTGCCTGTTATCATTTCTAAACGGCTGTGGTTGTTGCTGTGCTGGCGGCGGCGGCTGCTGCTGCTGCTGCGTGGGTGGAGGCTGCTGGGGCTGCGGCTGCGGCGGTGGGGGCTGCTGCGGCTGGGGTTGCTGCTGCCTTCCGTCTCTGTCTTCAGGACCCCCTGGGCCTGGTCCTGGGCCCCCGAGCCCTGGCATTCCGCCAGGCCGAACAAAGGGGCCATGTGGTGGAAAGGGGCCTTTCATTCCATGAGGTGGCGGCATTCCAAAGCCCCCGGGGCCTGGAGGGGGACCTCTGTGCATCATATGCGGCGGCATGGGACGAGGTGGCATCAAAGGGAACCTCTGTAAGTGAGGTGGAGGCATTCCTGGAGGGCGCTGAAGTGGGATCAGGCCAGGTCGGGCACCGAGAAGACCAGTGGATGGTGCCTGGAGCCCAATTACAGGACCAGGTGCAACTCCTTGAGTACCTAAGAGAAAGTAAAAATAAAAATTAGGTAAAGCAGAAGATGGCATTCGATTTTCACCTGTTTCCTGTGGAGCTTCAATCAAAATGAAGTTCAATCCAGAATCTTCCAATTTTGTGTGGTTTGCCAAGTCTACCCCGTGAGAAACTCAATGTGAGGGTCTGCCCAGTCACAACCACGGATGCAGTCTTACAGATACTACACTATATATATGCTATGGGGATACGGGTGTACGTAACTAGTGTACAGGTGATTAGTGTCTCATATTGGTAGAGGTCAAAACCAGCTGGAAAAGGAAATTGCAGTATACCAATTTTGGAAAGTCTCCTATAGTCTTCACCAGCAGCTGTTTGGCGAAAATACTTAAAACACTCAAAATACTTAAAACATTTGAGAAATACAATGTACTAGGCCTAATGAGAAAGCGCTGAACTATCTGAGCCAACTGAAGGCCAGCTCAGGTGCACTTTTAGGAAATTTTACGTTTTAAAGTCAATACTAGAGACAAATGGGGTCACTGACCCAGAAAATCCACCTAAGAGAGAGGTTTCTGATTCCTTGTCGGTAGGATGCCTTACTACATGGTACGCATTACTTGAACAGTAATGCTTATAAAGACTGAGAGACCAGTGGAGAGTTTATTCTTACAGGTTCTTGCTAGGTCACAATGACGAAGTATGCTCAAAGTTCAGCCATTCATCTTCTCATTCTTCCTAAGGCAACAAGACGGACAAAGTTGGTGCTGTTGACAGCGCTGAGGACTTACTGGTTTTATTTCCCATTTACATGTGGCTTTGCTCATGTTTTGGTGTTAAGTCATACAAATTCAACAATCTACCATTTAGAATGATCTGGCAAGCAGTATGCATGTTTCAGTTCACCACTTAATAACAGAAAGGCATCATCTATTTCTTCACAAATATCAACAGCACAAGGCAAAATACTATATGACCAACGGGAGTTAACTCCTGCTACCGTAACACTGTCACTAACACTGGAAACTGTTCCAGAGGTTAGAATATGTACTATTTCCTCATGTACTGCAGAAAGGCCTTTGAGCAAGTTATGGGTTGGGACTCTTGATCAGCAATGGTTCACAGAAATGTTTGGGTGACACAGATAAAAAAACTCAAGAGCAAACCCCATACTTTAATACTAAGTATTCCCCGCACCCCCCCAACATCACTTTGAACCACTTCCTTCCTCCCACGTGGTTCAGCAAACATTTAACAAGTACTACTCCCTCCCAAATTGTTTGTATGAGTTTCTAACTTCAGTTTCTGCTCCTCACAACATGTGGTCTGATAGTATTCTGTCAGACTTAAGGATTAAACAGAGTAGACCTGAAAATATACATACAGCGGTTTATAACTATAAACATGAAAACTCATCAACCTTGGTATTTACTTAGACACACCTTCTTTCACATGCTTAAAAAGAAGTATGTTTGGTGAAATATAATCTCATTTAGGAATGACCTTGGACGTGTGCCTCAGAAATGAGAGTAATACCTGCCTCTTGTTGAGATTAAATGGCATAAAATACATATAGTTAAATATGCTGAAATTATATCTATTTTTTTTTTAAAGATTTTATTTATTTACCTGACAGAAATCACAAGTAGGCAAAGAGGGAGGCAGAGAGAGAGGGGGAAGCAGGCTCCCTGCTGAGCAGAGAGCCCGATGCAGGACTCGATCCCAGGACCCTGAGATCATGACCTGAGCCGAAGGCAGAGGCTTAACCCACTGAGCCACCCAGGCGCCCCTTATTATATCTATTTTGACAGGTGATAAATATCCTAACATTAAATATCTAACTTCACTAAAATGAGTGCATTTTTCATTTCTGATTTGGATCTTATTAACCTCTCATGGTTCCCCAATACCCACCACAATTTAGTCAAGCACTTTGGCAGTTGGGAAAAATGTGAACACAGTGAGCTTCCACATGTCGGGTCTAAAGGTAAAATATGCTAAATACCAGAGTAAAAAGCTAGAATTTATGAAATGGACAAACGAGGCAAAGACCTTGTCTCTTCACACACTCTTCAGACTCGCTTTGAAACCCCAATGAACATACACAGAACCTATCCTACGTTTCAGATCTAAATGAATTCACAATGGCCAACATTATTCCTATCACTTAGTAAACACCGTGGTATGCCAAACAGCAGGGCAACAAAAGCACCTAAGATACGTCCTTTCTCTCACTTTTAAAAGAAATTAGTCTCAACATTTGTGGACCATAACTCAACATAAAATGTATGTACCCAAGTTACTGACCTTTTCATAGAGATACCACACATAGATACACTCAAACAAACTTTACTTTCCCACGAGCCTTTAAAATGACCACTGTTTTACTCTGTTAGAGTTCAGTGCGACACATTAGAGTACCTCTCTTTAAGCTCCAGAGGCCAATGCCAAATTTTTAAATATCACTAGAAAAATGGGAAGCAGGTTCAGAGCATCTTATTATAACAAAAGAATCAGGTTCAGATGAATCTTTAAGAGGAAAAAGGGACTCCTGTAGGACAATGGAAAGGTCCTACTTCCTGATTTACCCAAGACTGGCTTCCTCAATTACCAATCTGACAGTGGCCAAAGGATGCAAGGCCACCTCAGCCTTGTACAGAACAGATAAACTGGTAATAATACTCTTTAAAAATACAAACCTGTCTCTAGGAACACACCTCTTAAGTCCTTTATAATATGCATTTGAGAGTAAACAGATTGATTTAATATGGCTAACATTTATAGTAATCATATATTTAAACTATCTACAACATACAATATTTTTATAAAAGCAAAAATATTGCCTAATTCATTGATTCTGTATGTGTAGCTGCTTGTATTTGCCTAAAAAAATCCCTTCTCTCATTTGTAAATAAGTAGATTTCCATTTAACCCTTCAAATATTCCCATAGTCCTAAATGTTGACCTTCAGGCCACAGAAGTGGTAAAATTATGGATTATTACTGTTTTGTTTTGTTTTTGTTTTTTTTTTTGCCATCAACACGTGTTGCTTTTATAATCAAAGTTATATTTAACTAAAAATATACCAGGTGGCATAAACCCTTGACAGGCATGCTAGCTGAATTTCATTTTTAATTAGGAAAGCTGACATTATACATACATCAATAGACTATGTAGTGAGTTAGTCTGGTCTAAAGGGCCTTCAAAGCAATCGTTCATTATGTCATGGAAGGATGATATGCAATGCCACTGACAAGTTTTCTAGTTACAGATTAAAAAAAATAATTCACATATATTGAACACTTGAGCTTTACATTATTAACTCATTTCATGTGCTAGAGACATAAAGATAAACGAAACATTGTCCTTTCCTTCAAACAGGATATAGCCTAAGTAGAAAGAAACATGCTGGCTGCAGGAAGAGATGGCACAAGCTAGTATGGTGGCAAAGGCGGGCCTGCTGAAGCTTGTGTGTATGAATCTGAGTGTGAGGCTTAGGGTGTCTGAGCAGGGTCCAACAGCAAGGACATCACCAGTCAAGAGAACTGCAACAGTGTGTCTTCTGACGAGAGAGAAGACAGATATGCAAGATGAGGTTTATTACTGGAGCCGCAGGCAAGAATCTGTGTGAATACACTACCATCCAACTGAAAGAGGTTCAGGAGGCCGAGCAGGCTGGCTGGGGCAATTCAGAAGTGTGATATGCCACAAGAGGAAAGCCGGACTTTGGCTTCAAGTGATGGGGCAATGACCAAGGCATGATTCGCAAGCATGATCCCGTGTTCATTTTTGAAAGAGCTTTCTAGCAAGCAGTGTAGAGGAGAGCCAGGAGGGGAAAGACAGCAGAGAGCTGGTGGACTCTTATCCCCAGAATCCATGGGACAGAAAGAGAGAGACTGAACCCAGATAGGGGGGACAGAGAGGAAAAGCACAGTTCTCTGGTCTGAATGAGTAGACGGAAGCATCAACGCAGTGCAGGAATTTAGGAAGAGAAGCTGTTTTTGGGGAGAGGACAAATTTCCACTGAGCTAGAGGAGACTGGGTTAGATCTGGTGGGTGTGTGCAGAAGAAACTGGTATGCATACCTAGAGCTCGTAGGAGAAGTCCCAGTGTCACCCTCAGTTCAGGTGAGAAAAGGGAAGAGTTCAGACCCCAGGAGACACTACCTTAAAGTCTCCAAAATTTTAATACAGCAGATTTTAATGCAGGAAAAGGGACAGCCCCAAATGTCTATATTCAAATTTGAGAAGTGTTAAGAAATACACTTGAGTTCAACTCAAAATAACCAAGACTTAACTGTGAATATTCCTGTGAGTCAAAAACCAGACATTTCACAATTAAAAAGTCAGTCAAGATTAAAGGGGAGGTACACTGCTATCTAGAGCAAAGCTTTCCAGAATTATGTGACTTAAAGAACAGGTGTTAAGAGACTAAAGGGGCAGCGAGGAAGAGGAAGCTGGTATCATGGGTGGAGCCCAACATGGACCTTGAAATCCCAGAACATACATAAGGGACACAAACAGTAACTTTCTGCCCTATAGGCAGCTTTCTGCTAAGGACTGTAGGGGGGACAGGGAGGGCAAGGAGAAACATATAAAATTACTAGAAGTTTGACTTAAGTGCTGAGTGACCCAAATGCATCAGTTAGCTGGACGCTTTTGAAGAGGATGAAAATTCACGGGGGATCCTTTAAGGAAAGCAAGGACTTGCTAGGTGAAAAGGGGAGGGAGGAAAAGGATGAGAGGGAAACATCTAAAAAGGCAAGGCAGTTCTGCCTCTTTGCCAACAATGTCGTCCTTCATCCTACCAAAACCACTGCTTCTTTCAAGTCCTGGACCTTTTGTTACAAATATCTGTATTACTTCCAAATTCTCATCTGCAAGCACCCCACTCCCCGATCCCCTTCTTGGAGTAATTTTTGATCTCACGAGGGTCAGGCACCCACAGTGCCCTTCACTGTCTTTACCTTTCCCTCAACTTGCCTCAGAGTCCATGGTACCCCCTCACCACAGCTGGCTTGGAAAAACC